AAGGAATTTCAAATAGTTAATTTGATACTAATATCGATATATTTTTGTCAAATTTTTATGATATCTTCAAACATATATTTTATTCAAAAATAAAAACATAATCGCTTTCTCAAAATCACATAAAGCCATATTATAACATCGACTGAGACAAAGAATAAAATAAAATATTAAAATCAAGATGTATCTCGCTGCATTGCGCGAGTACGCTTCTAGTATATATATATATATGCATGTCAAAGACGGTTTCTATCACCGTCTCAAATCTCTAACTTTTCATTCTCTGTATTTATATATATCTAAAAACTCTCGTCTTCTCTCTAAATTTTACGTCAAGTTAGTTTGATCGAGGCAACAATTATATATTCGGAATTCACTCAACGAACCCTTCTTAAAGGTATAAGTTTCATTCAGTTTCATTAAGATGTTTATTTTAGGGTTATTTAGGGCAACTCCAACCATCCGGCAAAACTTCAATTTTGCCGGTGATTCCTTTCCAACCGACCTCCAAAAATACTATAATTTTGCCGGTGGGTTCTTGGTGGGTGAAGAAGACCGGCATATTTGCCGTGAAGATGAAGACCGACATTTATGCAAATGGGTGGTCCCCACCCACTTTTCTCAATTTTTGTTTTAATAAATTATAAATAATTACAATTTATAATTATTGTTATTAAAAATAGTAAATAAAATATGTTATTTTAATGCGGGGACCACAAATTTGGTGTTTTTTTAGAGTGTGATTGAAGTTGAGTTTTTTTTTTTTTTTTGTGTTTATGAGCCCACCAGATTTGGTGTTTTTGGTGTTTTTTTTGGTGGGATGGTTGGAGTTGCCCTTAGACCGGTTTATAAACTGTGTTTATATCTAAGTTTACGGATTGATGTTGTCAAAATTATGATATAGTTGATGCTTAGAATGCTAGGACTGATTATATTGATGTAGAAATAAAAAGGGTATATTATAGTTTTAATACGGTTAGATTGTGGGTATATGTTTAACCGTATACCAATTGTTCGGTTAAATGTCGAAAGGAGTAAAAATGCATGATTAAGATTAGATTAATGACCATTGGACTTGTTTTACTGTTTAGTATGTTGAAGTACGTTTATAGCATGTAAATGTAGCAAATCATGAAAGTTGGATCATAAAAGTTAGTCGGGAATTACAGAATCGAATTTTACCGATAATGTAACTCCTGTACATTGATAGTGTATAACTCACAAACCGTAAGTCGGAATAAGCTCGTATTTTGCAGATAGAAAGAACTTACTGCATACTACAACTTTCATGAAGGGTCAAAAATCCAGTTATGAATCTAGGTGGCTCGAAACAGTGTATTTTTGGGGCTGTTTATACTGTATTCGGGATTAATTTACAGTTTTGTAAAATTCATATAAAATAGATGGATGATCCAATTGTGATGATTTCAAAAGTAATAGACTCATATGATACCAATCTACAACTTTGATTTAGAAAATATAATCTGAATTAGTCTCTAAATAAGATAAAAATGCTTAGAAATAAGAGGGTGAGAAACGGTTGGATCGAAAGAGAATAATGCTAAGTTTTACGTTTAAGTTTTCAATTCATATCCGACTGTCCTTCTTGAAGTCTACGTTGTTTAAATACATTAAGACCTAAGTAATTTTATTAGAATAGTTATGTTACGGTTTTTATGCTTTGTAAATACTAACCGGTTATGCATTCGTTAGGCACGCGGGCAAATCAAACTTGATCGTAGATTTCCGTTTGATCGTGCGTTAATTGTCAAAGTCGGTTAAGGTACGGATTCCATATCTCGCTTGACACGGGGATAGCCATTTGCGTAAGGCTTCCTAATCCGGATAATCTGTGATAAATTCCGAATAATTTGTTCTGAATTTCCTTTATGCTTATCAAATGTTATTGAACTTTGTTTCCTTTTGAATTACGACTTATATTCTTATTCGGAATATGGATCATTTTGATCACTTGACTTGTTTTATTGCTTTATTTATGAAACATTTTACTATAGACTCAATAACTGGAGCACCG